AGAAAAACAGCAGAAGAATTATCCCAATAAAGACATCAGATTTTCTGTGGATTAGAATTAAGGCAGAACTTTGTGCCTTATCTCACTTTCCCCTGGTGTTGATCCAAGTGCTCTGCTATCTTCTTGATGGTTGAGTTGAAGAATCAGGAGAAACTGCAGATCGCAAGGATGACAGTGGAGTGGGTTAGACACCAACATAAGTCTTAAACACGTGAACAAAATTTCCTTTCTCATCATCAATCTTCTTCGCACTCCTGGACAGGCCACCTTGAGAAAGGCCCAACTGACAAAAATATTCAGCTATCTAATTAAAATAGATGGGTCAACATCCAAATTGTTCCCCAAAAGCACAATCTTTGCCAGAGCAAAATAAGGCAAAAAGGCATTAAATTTAATCTGATACACACATGTACACATAGCTTAAAAAATCCTCATTTAATATTCATTACAGAATTGAAATCAGTAGTAAAATCAGAGAGCTAACCGCCTGCTTAGGAACCGAGTCCCAAATAATTTTGCAGAGCTGGGCTTTCATCTGCTCTCCATATGTAAAATCTCAGTACTGTTTCATCTCACATGGCTGCTGTGGGACAAATGAGAGAAAAAAAACATTCAAAATACTACTTCCATTTGTAAGGTTCTTATGTAAGAGCCCCATTCCCAGAAATGAGGACTTACGTATCAAATAGAAAATACGGATCTATCAATTCCATGCAAATTTCCTACTGAATTTTACACAAGCAATCCATCCAAAACGTAATTCCTAATGTAGTATCCAGAACGCTAATAAAGATACTGAACACTGTGAAGATCAACTTACAGTTCGAAAATGTCTTGAGTTTGAATGTGGCATGATACCTCATACTACAAAATTATATCAAAGTTTAGCTCTTATATTATCTGAATTTACAAAGGATACCGCTAAACAGTAACTACTTCAAAAGACTACCAGTCATTAAGGGCGTGCAGATTCTGGTATTTTTTAAGTAGCATGATTGAGCATTCAGCCTTATCTCCAGAAGGTATAAAGTGTACCTGGGTTTTCTTTAATGAAATTCCATCTTGTAAAACTACAAGTTTGGTTACTTGCAGCATTCAAATGGTATATGCCTTAACCATTAGAGCTAAAACAGTTACTGAAAGAACTAATACATGCCAGGTACTACAGGGAATAAGAAACATTTCACCAGTAGGTCTCAAAGCTATTCTGAGAGCAGAACATACAGTGCCTCAAGGCAAAACGTGGTTTTGTTGGGGTTTTTTTTGGAGGGGGGGGGCAGGGAGGGAGCCCAAGACTTTAATGTTAATACAAATCCCTCTGTTCTGATCTCCTACCCACCCTTCAAGCCATCTGTTGCATGGCTACATCTGACCTGACCTCTCCTGTCTACTAACCACCTAATCTTCCATTACCTGTCCCTCTCTCTTTTGGTCCTCACAATTCTGCTTCCTTCTCTTTTTACTCAGTTTCTTCTGGATGTTTTTCTCCTTCTCCTGCTCATCGCTTGGGTGCAACTCAGAAAAGAAAGGAGTGTCCCTACTTTCTGCCCCTTTCCCACAGCCCTACAGCCATTAGAAGCAACTGCAAGGAAGTCCTGCTTAGTCTCTGTAGCCTGGAATAGATCATGCTCAATACAAGTGGGATTTTAAGAAGATGTATTTAATAAAAATTCCACCAGTCTCTACTGAAGAACATGAAGTGAAGATTTTCAAATGCCTGTAACTTAGCCAGTTTGGACGTTTTTCTCATAGTATAATAAAAGCTGCATTCTACCAAGAGCTTTTTTCCTGTTGTAACCAAGGCCTTCCTCCAAAGCAGAGCAGGATGAGGATTTCTCAATGAAATACAGTAACAGCAAAAACAAACAAAAAAGTCCTTTCTACCAACCCTGCAAAAAAACCAATGACCCCCTTATTTTGTTCTCAGAAACAGACCAAGCATTTTGTCTGAAGATCTACAAACAACTCAGCCACTGTTCAGCACCAATATAAAGATTTTCAATTGGATACTACATTAAATTTCAATTAATAAAAAAGTCCCTAAACCAGAAAATGTTATGCAGCCTTAATAACAGAGCAATCTGCCAGCTACAGCTCTAAGAAGCCTTCATTTCAACCAAAATGGACAAGAATGGAAAAGGTTCCCACTCTTACCCTATTAAAATGCACAGAAGTTGTACTTTTCACAAGAGTCATATTTCATTCATTAATGTTAAACTCTTTAGAGAAGGGACAGACTCTTACTCAATGCCCACATGCTTTGAAAAATGAAACATGATCTCTGAAGTGACATCAACATTGCTCCATTGTCAAATGAGTCATCTTTTTCAGCAAGTAAGCTCATAGAGAGATAAAACATTGAGATGATCACCTTTTAAAAACAGAGTACTTCGAATTCCATCCTAAGAATTGAAATAAAATAATTCGTTATCTTGATTTCAGAGTTTTGCATGCAACAAAACCTCATCCAAAAGTGTAAATGTCCATTACACAATTTGAGTTCAAAGTTCACTTTTCATAATGGAAAAGTCTGCTAGGTGTCTAAAATAAGTCATTTTTTGAAAAAACCTTTTCCATGCTTTTATTTGAAACTATCAGTCAATGCAAAGTATGATTTTTACATGATTCGTGTGAACAAACGTCTGTGTTTCACTTACAGCACTTGCCAAAATGTTTAGTGTATATAAGCAACTCCATGTGTCAGCAAACCAGAAGAAATTGCTATAAGGTAAGGTGAGTGCCAAGACAAACTCAGCAACAGTTTCTTCTTTAAAATCTTGAAATATTTATTTTCCTACAGCAGCCACATGTGTGCATGGAAATAATAAACAGGTAAAAGACACAAAGAAATCTACACGTGACAATTTATCAAAACTTTCTATTTAACTTCCACTCTTCACAGGCAAGGCTTAGCCAACCTATTCTATAGCTATATAGCAAGGAACCTTTGCTTTGCATTTAACGCTTCATTTCTGTTCTCAGATCTTAAGAAATCCAGTAGATCATGCAGCTGTTACAATATTTACATCTTATGCTTCTAAATATTACCATTTTATGGATATTTATGATTTTGTTAGGGAGGAAATCCAAATTAGGTACTAGTCATGCATATTACTTATTTAAATACATAATTTTGTTTTATAAAACTATCCAACGAACCACTCAGATGACGTTAGCCATGTTGAGACAGCTGAAGAGTAGAACTGCCAAAAATGCACACTTCAAAGATCTGTGATCCACAAAAGTCATTGTAATATGGTGCTCCATTTTCTACTGGCTTCAGCAAAAGGTCATAAAATGTGCACCTAAGTGACCTAATCTTGTGGCTTCACTGTAGATGGGTTCCATCTTGTTTTAACGTGACTCTGAAGACAGCGTCTCTGAAACTCTTCAGGCGATACACTGATAAAATCCACAGCTGTGCACCTTGTGCTCAAACTTCTACTCAAAACACTATAGACTTTCAAAGGACACCAGATCACCTACATTTGTCTCCCAGAACACAGTTCAAGTAGTACTGCTCTAGGGAGAGCGAAAAATAAGTGTGAAGAATTGAAATAGTTCTTTTTATTCTTGCACAAAAAATATGACTTCTATCACTGCTAAAAGCCACAGACTTTATAATCTACCACTGTCATCCGAGTGCTTAACTTGATATTAATGTTTTCAGATGTGTTGCTTTGAAAATAGTTTTCTCGTTTGGCAATTTTGGGTGTTTTTTGGTTGTCGGTTTGGGGTTTTTTTTAATTTGGTTGGGGGGTGTGTGTTAATGATTTACTTAGTTTAAGTGATGGCACTTCATCTATATCCAGCTCTCCATACCCTAGCTAACCCCAGTTATCGGTGTTTTCCCCTCCTTAATAGCAGACCACATCAAATAAACTGACTGAAGAAAAGGTAGAGGTTCAAAACGCACCAAGGAACGTTTATATGAGACTGCCAAAACATCTCCAATAGCCCAAGTACTACATTTACATAGAAGTTTACCCAATAAGGAGAACCAGTTCCTCGAAACCAAGTAACACAGACAAACTTATACCCTCATAATGATTAATAATTGACTGACTTTGCAACATGTGATATAAAAATTTGAAACTCCATAGTTTCTGCATATTTCTAGTTTTATCTTTGTGGAAAAGAATGCATGAAAATATATTGCTACAAGTTTCCCTAGACCTTCATTTTGGTATCTAATAACCAGAATTCAAAAATGCTTAAAAGAAAAGTACAGTCTGTCACAGATTTTCATAGAATCATAGAATGATAGAATCATTAAGGTTGGAAAAGACCTCTAAGATCATCGAGTCCAACCGTTAACCCAACACCACCATGCCCACCAAACCATGTCTCTAAGCGCCTCATCTACACGTCTTTTAAATACTTCCAGGGATGGTGACTCAACCACTTCCTGGGGCAGCCTGTTCCAAGGCCTGACCACTCTTTCAGTAAAGAAGTTTTTCCTGATGTCCAGTCTAAACCTCCCTTGGCGCAACTTGACGCCATTTCCTCTCGTCCTAAATTTTGTTTTATATGACTGGCAAGCTTTATAGCATTTTGATTCAAAAGCTAGTAAAGTGTCCCAGACGATAAATCAAAATAACTGCTATTCAAGCACTACCTAAGTGTATCCATACTTAATCTTTAAGTAAGATTAAACATTAGGAAGACAGAAGACACGTGGTAGACTATATAGGTCTTTTAAATACTGAATATTCAAAGCTGAAAGGCCCAATCTAAACCCTACTAAAACTGCTGGAAAGGTTGCTAGTTATAATCCTGTCTTCTAAATTCAGTGTTTAAGCAGGTATTACATCACGCCTTCTCATCATGAAACGAATCTCATCTGTTGTAATGAAAGTAACATAGGTTATCATAATAGGAAACTAAAGGAAACAAATACAGTAATACAGACACATGTTCTTCCACAGTGAAAGCCACAAAATGTAATCGCAATTTCAAGCAACAAAGCACTGCAGTTCAGAAAAATCTTTTAAACTTACTGTGTTAGTTGAATCTTCTTGTAAAATTCTATCATATAACTGGATAGCATCATCATACCTGTTCAAAGAAATCATTCGCATTTATTTCTGCTAAGACAGAACTCCTGACTTTTTGAGTGTCCTTGCAACAGTTAATAACCCTCCTGCACTTTTTATACTGAATATATTTAAGCAAACTATATTCATACAAAATTCTCTTGAGTGAGTGCTAAATATGAACAGCAGTATTTTATGTCACCAAGTTAAAAAAAATACATGGTAATTGGTTCATGGAATACTGTTTCAGCAGCAACTTATATATTTCACACCCAATTTCTTACCCTCCTGTCTGTTCTCTCTCTTTCTGTACCCAATAGGTCCAGTCATCACATCCCAACTCTCTCTTTCACCTCTCCCAAGAAACAGAAACCCCCAAATTTGAAACACCACCCAAAATAATGACTTTTCACTTCATTGTTGTAATTTAAAACTTCATGTAAGTTTCTTCTGTTATGATTTTTTGAAGTATAACAGCTGCATACAGTAAACTGCGGGGATTCACAAAAGGGTCTACCCCTAGACTATACCATAAATCTTGAAAGAAAATGTTTTCCACCATCACTATATAGGTTTTACTAATTAATTCTGCTATTTGAAGTATGCTTCAAAACAGGTTATTCCAGCTGCTATAAGTGCTTTAAACCTTCTGGGAAACAGATCTGTGTGTTCAGCCAGCTGTGTACATGACCCAAACTGGACAAATTAAATAATTCAATTCAAAACACATTTGACTACACAGCTGTTGTGCTATCACCACATAACTAGGGCATACTTTGGATCGTCATGTATAGTTTGACAAGTAGTTTTTCCGAGGTACTGCTGATTGGTTTTGATGCTACAGATCCCCTTCTCACCTCAGACACACATTTATGTACTCTCACTGCTCCCTAAGCGCTGCTGACATTAGCATAGCTCAGCTGTCCAGTCCAGTTACCATAACATATGAGAATAAATGTGAAAGGAAGCACAAAAGCAGAACCGAGTAGAAGGTGACTGCTACAGACTTGAGCAGACATGGTGTAAAACGCTGTATTCATGTTCTCTGTTAGTTGCTACTTTATCAAATGTATTTTACAAGACTGAACATGATGGCCATAATCCCAGCTTTACAGGGTGAAGTTCCAGAATACTATTCTTTTGGTTAGCAAGTGTCTACAGGGATGTCTCAGTCTACAGGGATGTCTCAGTCTACAGGGATGTCCTTCACTGTTTCCTCCTCCTGCTGGGGAAGGCAGGATCCCTCCTAGATCCTGGAAGTCAGTTAGACTTTAACACGAAGCTCACTTCTTCAATTGAAAATGTGATCCCTCCAGCCTACGTCTCCCTAGGCTTCATTTATAGTCAGTGGAGAGAGACAGGCTTCTCCGGTGCATGGCTTAGAGCACCTGCAGATGGGTTCCTGTTCAAGGGAACCCAGAGCCGTAGCCTCTTTCTTCTCTGACTTCTGGAGAAAATCTATGAAGATGAAACCTCAGCTTTCGTTAATGCCTCTGCTCCCCTGATATTCCAATCTCAAGGATCTAACCTGACAAGAGACATTTTGTCAAGAATTTTTATGAGCACTTTTGGAAAACTGTGGCTCAATAGCACTTCACTGCTGAAACAACACATAATGTTTGTGCAGCAGTCATCTCCCACAAAGATCTGTTCCCATGCAATAACATCTTCAATGTAATCACAAGCCTGAACAGAATTACGATCTTTTGCACTGCCGAATAGGTTTCGGGAAGGGGGGAAATCTGCTGTCATTCTCTCACTGTCTTCCTACCCTACATGAAATGAAGACAGAAAGACAGCTAAGCTTAGTGGAAATTCTTCACGAATGTGTACTCAACATAAAGTGAGTGTGAAATGTGGAACATCTAGTTGCCTCGAGACTGCTCCTGTGGTTGCAGAGTCCAGTTAACATCTCCTTTTGATCCAAGCAATGGATATTCATTGGTGGCTCATATCAAGTAACATTTTCAAAGTTAATTTTGCAGGAATGTAATGGATTAAGAACACCTGCTAAATAAATAAATGCAAAAAAAAAAAAAAGCATTTAGGGTTTACTTCTAAGTTCTAATTCTTCCGTATCAACATGGCCCAAAGGCTCCAAATCTCACCAACTCTATATGCAAAATGTGGCATGGAACAGATTTGCTAGCATTCAAAGGCACTGGAAGCTGGAAGTCCTTCTCAACACCCAAGACAAGTGCTTTAGAACAGAATGTTTATATCAAAGATGTATCCAAGGAGAAAGGCCTACAATAAAGGTCAACCTCAAGCCCTGAGGTCATTTATCTTAGAAAGCTGCAGTTTTAAGCTGTTCACTATTTTAATAATTCCTGTTAAACTTAGTATGTTATAACACCTCTATAGCATATTTCAAAAAGGTCAGTCTGATTTTTAGGTTTGGCCATTCTATTCCATATGGTTTTTGAGTGGTTTCTGTAACAAACTCCATAGATTTAATCCTTATTAAGTTCTATGGGATTTATCCACACTCAGAAAACAAGGAAAAAGAGCTACATCCTGCAATAATTAGTAGCATAGGAGAACAATGAAAGCAAAAACACACTGGCACTGATTTTCATACGCTGCTGTAGCTCTGCGAGATGAAAAGTATACCTCAGACTTCGCCAAAAAAGCACCTAATGTTTTACTGTATAATGACTTATGCTGTCAAGTAAGAGATCTTTTTAATCTATGAAGTCTGATGGGAAGATTGCAAAAATGTAACACTGCACAGTACACACAAAAATGCAATAAAAATGTCTAAACATTATAATATGATCATGCACACCATTATTTTCTATGAAGAAACTGCCCAGCATTGCTTTGCCATGTTTTTATAGTGCCTGAATGCCTTTTTAAGAAATAGCAAGCACCTTTCCAGACAGAAAGTACATTTTTTTAAATTCAAATTTTACCTTTCCATAGCTTCAAATCGCATTCCAGTTAATCGTTTAACTCTGTGGCTCCCAGGAAACTGCCGCCTTAGTTCCTGAAGACAAAACTATACAAATAAATCCAAAAACACTATTGTGAATATAATTATCTACACAGAAGCTGGAAGCAAAAAAAAAAGTCATTGGCTGATAATTCAACAACCTGAAATGGCACTTCTAAGTAAAAGCAAATACCAATTTTTGAAATAAGCAATAAAATATATTGATAAAGAGAAGCTCAGAAACTGAAACTTTGCCTGTTAGAAGACTAATTCTAAGAAATATCTTCCATACAGGCCGTTAAGATTGTCAGGCCTTCTTGGAAATAGTTATTTGTCTAGAAAATTAAACTCACCTACTAAAACAGTTTTGATACTATCAAAACTTGAAGTCTACTTAGTTGCCTCATAATAACACACGACAGTAAAAAGCAAAATAAAGATGGCAAGAGCTTATGTGATACTTCTTTAATAAATGGATATCTCACAATGGAACAAACTATGCTAATACTATGCTCTGTGTTTATTTTTAAAATAAAACTTTGAAATCCAAAGAAAATGTTTGTCACTGGCTTGGGTTGAGCCTGCTGGCAGAAGAGACATAGCTTCTAACTCCTGAAATCAATGAGACACCTGGGCTGGATAAAAGGAATTCATCACAGGCAGATTTCTCTGGATTAGCAAAAAAGGATGTTTGGTAGAGGGATTGAGTCACAACTTCCCCAGAGCACACTAACTCTAGCCATATCATGAATGTGGCTAGATAGCATTGTCAAGTTTGTAGCTGACTCATTATGGCGGGAGGCAGGACAGTCCCCAGGACAGTGGTTTGAATCATATTAAAAGCTTCACACAGAACCCTCCTTCTCCAGGCATTTATTTATACAACTAAGCTTATAAACTTGTTCTTCAGGCCTAAGGTTCTAGCAGAGGCCTATCTACATAATCTGTTCCATCTCACCACATCCACTGGACAAAGGAAAAATACAGAAGCAAATCAGTAAAAATTAGTAGGCTCCCTCTCTGTTTCTGTATATAAACAGGTTGCTGGAGCACAGCAAAGAGAAATATTCACATCTCTCCCAGATGCGAAAAAATAGAGAAGGAAGAGAGAAAGGAAACAGTAATCAAAGAAGTAATGCTTAGTCTCAAGTAAGCACAGAATATTTTATTACAACCATCTTAGTTTCCCATGAACCAAGATCTCAACAATGCAATTTCACATAGCAAGACTCCGGTTTAGCACAGAAACAGTTTAATGGCACTTTGAGTGATGTCTAGGTGAACTGTTGCTGCTCTGGACAACAAATTGTCATAAAAAACTACACGTACTTAGCAGCACATTACATGAGGTCTAAACTAATCCGTGAACATTCTTCAGAGACAGGAAAACTTACATAAAACTCCAGAAAAGTAGTTTCACTCCAGCTTTCGTACAAACAGCCTTTTAGATTTTTAAAAAGAACTTCCTGATAATAAATTCACCCTGTGGCCCAGTGATCTGGAAATCCCGAAGGACAGTGATTTTCAGTCTAAAAACATGCACTGCTTTTCTTCAATAAAATTTTTAAATGTCAAAAATTGTAACATTTGCAATAATACTAAACCCCACGATCTGCAGATGGACTTTTACATCCAGAAAAATGCCATCGATTATATAAAAAAAGCTGATAAAAAAAAGCACTCAAGTGCAGGAGTACTACAAGACCAGAATTGTTCACATTAGATTTGACTACATGATCATTATTCAACCAAATACAGCAGCCACAAGTCCAGAATAAACTCCTGTAGATTACGACATCAGACACAATGAAGTGATATGAAAAGTTGTGAGACAGTCACGAACGACTCACTGCAACGCTTTTGAAAACAAAAGCGCATGAATAAACTACACTAGCTATATCTTCAAAATGTTCTGGACTCAGCAGCACTGAATGTCCTCTTTTTAAATTTAACCTGTAATCCCCATAATAATTTATGTTATTGAGGACTGGTTCTGCACTATGTCAATAATCTACTTTCAAGATTCTCTCAGAAAGTTACAATGGCAAATCTCGTTTGTATGTGAAACTTTAATTTGCAGTTAATTTGCTTTCTGATTTTTTTTAATTATATAGGTTTTTGATTTTAAAGGTCTGACAAAGGCAAAGAAATATAAACCCGGACTTCAGCATGTAAAACACTGGTAGTGCAAGCGCCTGCCAACAGTAGGTGATTTCACTAAAACATGCATGTGAAAGAACTGGCTGATTGCAGCAGGGGCATGCATTACGCATAGTCATTTTGTGCGGGACAGAGAGGACAACAGTAATAAAAAGGGAAAAGAAAAAGAAAAACAGAAGTCAGATCAATGACTGAAAACCATCTCAGCCTCCTCATTTGGAGCAGATGAGACCTATCCCCCTAAGCAAAATGCATCACAGCTGTCAAAAGCTCACTGCTAAAAAACAGAAGTTCCAAAGCTGTTTGTCTACTTTGGGGCTACAGCTGTAGCAAAAAGCCGCATGTGATGTTGACTTGTTTGAATTAACTACTTCTTTATTATAAATCAATCAAATTTAAAAAAATAAAAAAACAACTAAGTTCCCCTCTAAGCTTTTAACCTCCTATCTGAGCTGCATATAAATGTTGCACTCCCTCATCTCAAGCAATATTCCTTAGAGGGCACAGAAACTGAAATTTAAAATCCCTGCCAGAGTTAGTAAAAATAAATAGTGTTTCACAACTGATCTTTCAACACTGGCTCCCTCAACAATTTTGTGAAAGTCTTCCTAAAAAGACCCTGAAAATAAAGACCAAAACTGTTTTAGATATACATCAGAAAACAGAAATGTATTTATTTAAACAGTAAGTCTATTTGTTTTCGTTTAAGCAGACAGCTATGCCACAACAATATTTCCTTCTGAGGAACAAAAGAAAGGGAAGTTCAGTGGGTTCACGACAAGTTCAACGTGTTGTGCTGTATCTTCCAGTGTACTCCATTTTACCATATACATATGGAATGCAAGATGAACTTGTCTAGTTCTGCCTACTTTCAAATTGCCCTTCTCCCAACTACATCCTCTAGTCTGGCCCCTTGTGTATCACAGACCATTAAGTTTCTCCCAAACGACATCACATGAAGCTCCAAGACTTTATAGGGTATTTTGCCATCTGACAGAGAACAAGGCACTGGAAGAGTAATCCCCATGAAAGACCTGGACTCCTGAAAATATCTTTCTTTTTATTTAGAATAAGCTCAAGCTTGCTGGCTTTCAGGGCACAAGACAAGCCCATGTTTCAGTGTTTTTTCATTTTTAATCTAGTGAACAGGTGTTACAGTTCTAAATAAACTCATTTTATCTAAATTGTTATTTGTATAATTCAAAGAAATTTGCATACAAATTGACTAAACCCAAATATCCATTAACAATATTTTTATCAAGAATCACTGAAAAATTTGGATTGCAAAGGACCTTTGGAAGTCACCTGCTCCAAATCCCCACTCAAAACACAGCAGCTTCCAAGTGAGTGCAGCGCCATATCCCAATCCATTTCTGAGCATCTCCAAAGGAGATTCCACAGCTTCTTTGTGCCACTTGTCCCAAAGTGTTCACTAACCCCATTGTCAAAAACTTTTTCCTAGTATCTAATTGGAATTTCCTTTGTTGCAGCTTACATCTCTCACACTTGTCTTCTGCTGCATATCTACAAAAATCCATCTCTACCTTCTTTATATCTTCCCATTAGTACATATTCAAAGATAGCAATAAAATCCCTTCTTAGCTTTCTCAACACTTAACAAACCCAGATCTCTCAGCCTTTCCTTATACATTATGCGGTCCAGCTCCTTATTCATCTTGAAGACTTGCTCCAATATGTCAATGACTTTCTTTGATGATAGCCAACATAACATATAATATGATATGCATGACAGGACATTTCACCTCAAAACATTCAAAAAAACAATATAATTTGAGAGTTTTTCAATAAACAAACACTCTCTGTACAATTTGGCAACTTCAATATTATTCTTGACATTTAGCCCATACCAGAGTAGCTGTAAATATTTTCATGACTATTGGAAGAGACATGATCTGTCTAAACAAAAGTTACACATTAGAGAAGGTGGGTGGAGGCAGTTTCTTCCCAGCAGTGTATTTCTCGATAGATATTCTACAACTCCAAGCTATGGAGTACAGAATATCCAAAGAAATATCTGGAAGAGATACCCAGTAAGAAAACTTAAGGTTTGAGGGAAAAGTCAACCTGAAAACTTACCAATGCCAAATCATCTCGACTGCAGTCCAGGGCAGCAATCATCACCTGTTCATATATTATCCAAACTAGACACAAAAGAGACATTAAATGCAGATAATAGATTTTTTTTTTTTTTTTTAAGATAATGGAAAACACCTACAATGTAAATAAGATTAATGAATTCTGTCTGTGTATTTTTCCCCTTCTACTCCTGTGGATCACTACTGAAACAGGGAAATTTTTAAGAAACTGCTGGAATTAATTAAAAACGCATTTAAGCAATTTTATTGCTTTTAGTAACAAAGTACCTTTTGACATCTTGAAAGGCAAAAAAGCTCTAATTCTCTGCTTTTCCTAACATTATAGCTGCAATCTTCTAAACAGATCCCCATTAGGACTTGCTCTCTGATCAGACCTGGAGAACAGACATTTGGGCTAGAAAGAAAACAAATTTCCCTTAACTTCTGAAAGTCCTACAAATGTTGTCTTCTTCCTGGATTTGAACAATTGCTCTAAATCAGTAACAGATTACATTATTTCTGTTCTAGGCCTACTGAGGTCTTGAACGTAAAGAACTTAACAGTGTAGCTATACAAGTTGAAGAAAAGAGAGGTTATAGTAGAGGGAAACATGTAATGCGATTATTAGAAGTACTAAGTGTTTTGAACTCATGTAAATCCAATCAGGTGCACCCAATATTTCATAGAACTGAAAGAGAAGCAAGTGTCTTCCAAAATAAAAATATGAAATAAAAATAAAAT